CAGCCTCTGCCCTTGCAGCTCTTCCTGACCCCAGATTTTGCTATACTATCCATGCTGGGCCCTTACTGGAGCTCCTCTTGGCTATCCTGCTGTTGCCCCTGGGTTGTAGAGATCTTGCAACTTTGGGTCTATAGGACCGGTCCCTTTACTTGCTCCAGCAGATCACAAGGCAGGGTGGATATTGGGGTGGGCCACCCCATAACCCTGGCTTGGGCCTGGATAGTGGTCAGCCTGCCAGCTCTTCCTTGTCCTCACCACCAGACTGCGCTCCCCTGCATTGCCTTGGCGAGTTTACTCTTTGCAGTGATGAACAAGGGGCAGGGCCGGTTCTGCTTTCATGTCCTCGGGGTTGCATTTTCTACATCTACACCTTCAGGACCAGCTCTACTGCGTGCTGCAGCGATGAGGGACAGGGCTAGATCTACCGCTCTTTGACTTCAGGGCCAGCTTTTATTCTCAGGCATTGATGGGCAGGTGGGGGAAATCTCTCTCACCCATGACATCACAGTGATGATGAATAATGGGGACAGCTCTTCCATGCTCATGGTATCAGGATTGGCTCACCCACACTTCTGCCAATGGGGTTGGCTCTACTGTGCTGCCCAGGCAAGGTGCAAGCCTGCTCTACTAAGTGTTGCAGCTGGTGACAGGCAGGAGCAGCTCTCAGCCCTTCTGACCTCAGGGCCCCTCTCCCAACCTGCCTCAGGCATTGATGGGCAGAGAGGTGAACTTTTGTTTCTTTAATGTGGTTCTTGGTGAAAAACTTGAAAAGCATCATAAGAAAATGAGGGTTTTGTAATTCTCATTAGGGTTGATCTGTAGATGCAGTATCTAGGGTCTTTAGAAAATTGAATCTCAGGAAAGAATACATTACAGCTAGATTGTTGTCAAAATCCTTCTTGCCTAAAGACTATATGTTTTTTCAAAGTATGTTTCTTAACTGGGCTTCTGCGTGGTCTCATCATTGTAAACAGTACTGCAATGAACATGAAAATGCAAATCTTTTTAAGAAAGGATTTATTTTGAATTGATGACTACATATGCATGTATCTATGTATGGGTGCACTATGTGGGTGCCTGTACCCTCAGAGGGCAGGAGAGGGCATCCGAGCCTCTGAATCTGGAGTTACAGGGGTTTGAGAGCCTCTGGCATAGGCACTGGTAATCAGACATAGTCCTCTGCAAGAACAGCGTGCACTCTTTACCACCGAGCCATCCCTTCAGCCCCTTAGTTCTGCTCACATAAGGATTCTGAGTTTATTACCCACAGACAGGTTTCTGGATCACATGGTAGTTGTGGTGGTTTGAATAAGCCCATGCACTCATACATTTGAACGTGTGCTCACCAGGAAGTGGAACTGTTTGAAAGGATTAGAAGGCTTAGGAGGTGTGGGCTTGTTGGAGGAAATGTGTCACTGGGGGCGGTCTTTTAGGTTTGAAAAATCCATGCCAAGCCCAGTCTCTTTCTTTGCCTGCAGATCAGGGTATATCTCTTAGCTACTTCTACAGCACCATGCTTGCCTTTCTGCTGCCATGCTCCCTGCCATGTTGATACCAGAACAACCCACTGAAACTGTAAGCAAGCCCCTGTCTATGTAAGAACCTTAGCTCTCATCTTATAGGGATTAAGAAATAGTTTATTCTGGAGCCATTATAAGTGACTATGACTTGGGAACACAGATTTAGATTACTGCAAATTCTGTGTTCCAACATGAAAACAGTTTTATGAAGTTTTTTTTGAAAATATTTATTTGTTTATTTATTTATTATGCATACAATATTCTGTCTGTGTGCAGGCCTGAAGAGGGCACAAGACCTCATTACAGATGGTTGTGAGCCACCATGTGATTGCTGGGAATTGAACTCAGGACCTTTGGAAGTCGAGACTGTCGTGGCCCGTGAGGGTCCAACATAAATTCCCTAATTCCTCAAACCGGCTGGAACGGAGTCGCGAGGAAAAGAACTGACACAGCTTACACCGTCATCATGGAAAATGGCCAGATCGCCGTTTATTCTCCAAACATTTTATATACCCACACCAAATTGAGCGGGGAGGGGGAAAACCAATTACGCCATCACCTAGGCAACCAGGTGCCTGGGCTCAAGTCACATCCGCATCTAGCAGTCAGGTAGGCCCTGAATTAGCATCTCTATAAGACATCCTTCCAAATTACAAAAAGAAGGAAGCACCAAATATCTGAACTCTTAAGTCATCAGCTTCAGTCAAACATCTCTTCTCAGGTAACCCACATTTTAACAAAAGAAGCTAGGAGCAGGCATCCTGGCCTTTGTTAAGGGCAGAGACAGCTTGTCGGCAGAGCTACGTGGTCAGCTCGGACCGGGCTAATGGCTTTTGTGCCATATCGAAATATGGGCCCACAGAGACAATGCTCTTAACCACTGAGCCATCTCTCCAGCCCCTTATGAAGTCTTTTTTTAAAAATAGTTTTACAGAACAGAGAAAACCATAAATCAAGGTAAATTAAAAATCCCTTGGTGGGTCCACCAGAGAGGGGGGTGCAATGGGGTGGAGGAACCATTCTGTAGACCACAGAGGTCATCTGATTGCATTCTTTGCTCTTGGATTGGTGGAAGTCAGTGTTCTGCTACGTTACAGCTTCTAAGACATGTTTATTTATTACCACAAGGTGTTAGTTCAGATACAGAGTGGGACAAAGAGTGGCTGTTCCAGATTGGCTAAAACTAAGCCCAAGTTAAGCAATGAGTCTCTAAACCTACAAAATTCCCACCTCTCCACCATGCTGAAATTCCAATCTGTATTTGTTTTACTATCTTTCTATTCTTATCCATAGATGCTTACTAATGAATCCTAATTAACATTCTTGGAGTTGCTAATCAATCAAGGTGGATTTCTCAGCAGCTGTGCACAGTGTTTTCTCCTCTTTGATTTTAACATACACGTATAATGTTAATCTTAAAAGAAATCAACAAATTAAAAAAAATACCATATACCTTAGTACAGGAAGAAAATGTATTGCCTTTTGCCCATGTGAATTTTGGTAACAATCTTGTTTGAGTCACTCCTCTAGGACTTTGCTTTCAAAGTGCTAGATCAGCTACTCAAGATGAAACACAATCGTCTGTCCAGATGTGGTACCAAGACATCACAAGAGAGAAACACATGCCGTGGGTAACACATTTGCTTAACTTCAGTAGTTACGAGTCAACTGTCGGGAAAGCCAGTGCTAATGGACAAAGCGCCAGGGCCGTCATGGAAGGGCTGAGTGAGATGACCCACAAAACCCTACTTCACAGATTTAAAGTGACAAAACGTTTTTATTGTATGCTTTGGGTCATGAGCACTGAGAAGCAAATGCCAGATCTGCTTGGAGGTTGAGGTGAGGCACTAGAACAGTGTAGTAAGGAGCTATCCAGTCAGGAAACCCAGAAGGTACTCCTGTAGACACGAACTCCTGGCCGTTTGAAGCAAGCTCACTATTGGCCATAAATGTTTTATGTCAGTGGCTGACAGGCTTAGAAGGAATCTGGCAGCGTTAGATGAAAAAGATTTCTCTTTTGACAATGCTAGTATGGTAGGAGATGCTGAGTGCTAAGAAGCCGACCTGTGAGGATGAGGTAAATGCTTTGAAGTGAGTCTACACAGTCACATAATAACTCTATTATTAGTCTATATTTTTTTGTTTTGTTTGTTTGAGACAGAGTTTCTCTGTGTAGCGCTGGCTGTCTTGGAATTTGCTTTGTAGACCAGGGTAGCCTTGAACTCAGAGATCCACCTACCTCTGCCTCCCAAGTGCTGGGATTAAAGGCGTGTGCCACCACGCCAGGCTGTATTATTAGTCTATTGCATACAGTCTGTTTTGGACTTAACAGCAGTATAGATATAACAATTAGATGAATAGTTAGGATCATTCTCCATATAGTCAGTCACTCAGAAGAATTTTTGGTTCAGACATGATGATCAAAATAAAATAAAATAAAATAAAATAAAATAAAGGAAAATCTTCTTGGGTCATAGCATGGTTCCAAAAAGAAGTAGACAGCAGCTCCACAAGATAGAAAAACCAGGTTTAAAGATACATTTAAAGATACATGAAAATGTATCTTTAAAGATGAGATATATCTAGAGTTTTTAAAATGGAAAAGGCAACAAGCGCCTCCATTTCAGTTTGGAGTTCCAGGGACTTGCTTGAAGCCCAGCAGTTAACTGGTGTGTAGTCACAGTGTTAACAAGTTAACAGTGTTAACAGTGTTAACAAGTGTGCTCTGACCTCATTCTCACGTATTGCTTAGACATGTCTTCCGGAGCTCTCATCTTCTACAAGAAGATAATTCTTAGATTGCTCAACCATAAAAGATGGGATCTCAGCAGGTTCTCCAGCCAATGCAGGACAGCCAGGTCACAGCAGGTAGATGCTGGTGAAGAGACACTTGTTTCAGAGTCTAAGGAATAAAAAACCTCTCCCAGCTAAGCTTCCCCCTTTTCATGTTTAGTGGAAGCAATTATGTAACATCTAGTCGTGTTTGGCTTTCCAGGGTTCTTTGGGTCTCAAGATGGGATATCATGTAGGCTAGACAGGCTGGGAACTCACTCTGTAGCTAAGGATGAACTTTGGATCCGCCCTGCCTCTACCTCTCAAGTGTGGCATTTTAGCTTTAAGGGACAAAAGCTTTCTTTGGTTATATCAGGGGAGCCAACATGAAGCTGCTTAAGTAACTGAACACTGGCGATCTTCAGTATTAAACAACACTCCACAAGCAGAGAAGGCAGATGGGGAAGGGTTCTGTTGGTATCCGTGGAGCATGTCGCCCAGGGTCATAGACGGACATGTCTCCTGGAGAGCATGGACTATTTCCATGTTACCTGGGACTTGGATATGCTGCTAGCTTCTCTCCCTTCTTGGAGACAATACTAGAGATGAACTGTGTCCCTATGAAACACCACCTGCCTGAAGCTACGCATCCACGTGCCCTAGATTAGAATGTGCATTCAAGAAGCCAGACTTTTGTGCAGCGCCACTTTACAAGGCCGTTTGCCTGTCCTCTTCTGCAACTTGCCCCTGTATTTTTGGAGTTAGGCGGGCGTTTTCAAGGAGTTCGTAGGCATCTTGCATGTTGGGGAGACTCTGTCTCATGTCCTGGGGAACCTTTTGAATCGGAATCCCGGTGCTGTTGTTTGGGCACACTCTCTGACCCTGGTATGACTGGGCCCGGCGTTTGCAGATGCCAAACTTGCTGAGCAGGATGAACACATCCCTCTGGAAGGCCTTAGTGAAAATGGCATAGAGGAATGGATTGGCACAGGAGTTGAGGGGGTAGAAGAGAACCAGCAAGATTTTGGAGTTAGTGACGGTGATAAGGGGCTTGTTCAGCAGTGCTGACAGGGCGTAGAAGGAGATGGGGGCCATGCACATGAAGTCCGTGAAGATCAGCACGGCCATCCTCTTGGCAATCTTGGTGTCTTTATCGCGAGGGTTGTACTGGGGATTCCGGACCGTGACGTAGATCTTCACGTAGCAGGAACAGACGATGACAAAGGCGACAATATTGAGCAGCAGAACCAGGGCAATGTAGGCTAGAGCAAGAGGCGTGTCAGTGTCCATCGGCAGGCAGATGCTGACCTTGGCGTAGCTGCTTATTCCCACCAAGGGGAGCAGGGCCAGGAGGAAGCAGGAAACCCAGCCCCCCGCCATGATGGTGTACGCATGCCGGAGGCGGATCTTCCTGTCCAGGCGCATGGCGAAGGTGATGGCATACCATCGCTCCAGGGTGATGACTGTTAGCGTGTACACGGATAGTTCGCTGGCAAAAACGGTGAAGAAGCCAGCCGTGTTGCACCCAGGGCCAGTCTGCCAGTCGATGGCGTGGTTGTAGTACTCGGACTGTGTGTACAGGTCCACAGAGGCAATGAGAAGCAGGTATACCCCCATGCAGAAGTCGGCAAAGGCCAAGTTACACATAAGAAAGCGAGGCACGGTTAGTTTATAGTGGCTGGTAAGGAGAATAAACAGGACAAAGATGTTGCCCAGGAGAGCCAGCAGACTGACAAACCACACCACGATTCTCAGGAACTTGTAACCCATGATGTCTTCACAGGGGTTAAACTCATCCGACTTGGGAGTGCACACCATGTCTTCATTGTCCCCACACACAGTGTAGTCATAGTGGCTGTCGAAGGCTAGCAGAGTCTCTTCCTGAGGATTTTTGAGCTCTTGGCCGAAACCGAGGATCTCATCCTCTTGTTCTTCAAAGAATACGTAGTAATGAGAGTTGCCCGAGCTCTCCTGGAGCTTGGGATTTTGTTTGTACCCAACACCGTTGTCACTCAGATCTTCCTCGTACTCCTGGTAGAGGGGACCTCTCAGCACATTCACTGATTTTCTCTGGCGCAGATTCCGGATGCTGCTCTCGTTACACATCAAGGACTCCAGGATTCTGTAAGGCAACAGATAGGAGTCACCTCTTGCTTAAAGTCCACCTTGGAGCCCCTTAAACTCTGGGAAGATATGCAAGTTACTTCTCCTGATGTTATTGTGCTACTGATTCTCCGTGATATGGATGGGCCCTCCTCTGCCACGCCATTTAAAACATTGACTTTGTTATGTTGCATGCACCACAGCATGGCGTAGAGTTTCACTGGCAGAATTAAACCTTCCTAGTCAGAAATCACTCCAAGCACTTCAAAGATCAACGAGAACACTTTAATAAAAGCATGCATCCAGATTCTGGTTAAGCCTATGGGATCCCAGCCATGACCAGAAATTGTCTACAGCTCCGAGTCTTGAGCTCTAATATGGTAACCTTACATATGCATTGAGTTGGCTTTTAAAGCTCCCATCCCAAGCTATATTTTCTGAGCAATTAGGTGGGTTTTCTTTTCCTTCCTTCCTTCCTTCCTTCCTTCTTTTTTTTCTTTCCTTTTTTTTTTTTTTTTTCAAGACAGGGTTTCTCTGTAGCTTTGGAGTCTGTCCTGGAACTAGCTCTTGTAGACCAGGCTGGCCTCAAACTCACAGAGATCCACTTGCCTCTGCTGGGATTAAAGGCGTGCACCACCACGGCCCGGCTCATTAGGTGGATTTTCTAGAACCAAAACGAAGCAGCAGTTTTTGGTTATCTTTAGATTACACTGAGCAGCACAGATGCAGTTCTCTGTTAAACAAACAAGGTTTGCTGTCTGAACAGCTGGCAGCCAAGGCCATTGTCTCTTTGCGTTCCTCTGATGAGAAGAGGGGCTCCCTATGAGCCAGTTCTAAAGAAATATGTCCTGGGGGAGTCTGAATTCTAATTTACTGTACTAGTACACCTCTGCCTTCCTTATTGTATACTTTCTAAGTTTGATTAGCATGCTATTTGTCTTAGAGTTGTGTTGGAGGCAGTACTTTTTCAGGTAAATTCTACTGTGTAGCTTAGTATTTTCTCAGCAAACATTGGTAAATCCTCTATGATACTTGTTATTATTTTTTCTTTTCTTTTCTCCAAAAAGACAACTTGTGGTTGTTGATTCTCTTCTCCTACTATGTGGGTGCTGGGGATGGGACTCAGGCCTCTTGGAGCCATCTTTCCCACCCTCTGCTATTGTGACCAAGGACACTGATCTTATTTCTCACCATCTTGAGCCACTTGCAGAAGAATCATGATTGAAAATCACGACACGGGAGCCCACTTAGAATATGGCTCCCGTGGTTACTAGCTGTGCCACGTGGGGCAGACCTGTGACACCCGTTCACTTGTGAGTGGAGTGAGAACGTTAAATGAACAGAGGAGTAGCTTTTCTGAGCTGTTACAGCAGGACCAGGAACATGTGTTTGTGAGTGCTGTTAAATACTATTCCTGTTCCCAGCTCCAGAACTCCACACTCCCTTTGCCTTGAAGCTCATGGCCACATTTACTGGTTATTCAATTTTAGACATAGCCGCATTTTTTCATGGGAGCCTTTCCTTGTCTATTAAATAAACCACCCCACCCCATTGTCTCATCCCTTCCCAGCCCTGACTGACATTTCCTTCTGTTTGTTGACTTCCTCATACCCCTGCTGTGGCTAGGATAATGCCAGGTACACAGGAGATGCTCACAAAATATTTGCTAACAAATTAATAAATGGCCACAGCACACGGGTATACTCATAGAAATGATTTACGTTTTCAATTTATTTTTTGTTTTCTTGAGATTATAATATAATCACATCATTTCCCCTTCCTGTGTTCTCCTTCCTAATCCTCCATGATACCCCTCCTTCCTCTCTTTCAATTTCATGACTTTTTTCATTAATTGTAGTTGTTATTATGTGTGTATATGCCTAAATACATAAATACAACCTCTTCAGCCTGTCTAGTGTTATTTGTATGTTTATGATTTCAGAGCTGACCATTTGTTATTGGAGAGCAAATTGGTGTGCTCTTCGCTGGGAAGATTAGCTCTTGTTCTCAGCATCCCTTAGCTGCCTGTTGTTCTCTGTGTAGGGTTGAGGCCTACAGGCCCTCCCTGTACCAACATCAGCCTGTCTATTGTTGTCCTTGTTCAGCTCCTGCTTTGGTAGTTATGTTGGTGAATCTCCATGGGTGTGGCTTCTGACATTCCTAGGAGATACAACACAGTAGACTCTCTGTTCCTCTGTCTCTTATAATCTTTCCATCGCTTCTTCCTCAGTGATCTCTAGACCTTAGGAGCAAGGGTTATATTGTAGATGTATCTGTTGGGACTGGAAGGATTTATATTTTTACTACATCACCAGCGAGGTCGCCTCTAACCATGCATTCCATCTCCGACCCTTTCCACTCAATGCCATGTAGTGTTAGTATAGCACCCGATATCAACACCCTGTGCCCCATGCAGCTATTATGGCTGTGATAGTCCCCTTCACCTAGCTCTTCAACCTTTCTCTTTGCATCTGCCTCTGTGAGTATGTCCTGATTTTTTTTTTTTTCTGGTAAAATTGTGAGTGTAGAAAGTCATCCAGTAGATCCTTGTGTAGAAACTAAAAGAAATGGAAATAGACAAACGAAGGTGGAGTTAGAGCAGGCGGCACAAGGCCAAAAGAGGAAATAGGTCACAGGTCAGGGACAGCTTGAAGTGTGAAGTGTGATGGAGTATCTCCTTGGCACTCTTGCAAGTAGCTAGCTACTGAAATAATACATGTCATAGCTAGTACCTTCTTTTACTTGTGACATTCTAGAAATTCAATCCCAGATGTTTCCAGTAAACTGCTTTATCTTCTCAAAACCCCTATGGATGATGGGTGATGGTCTCGAACCTTAGAAACTTGGGGTAGTTGAATGAGTACACTGAACACCGAGATGATACAGCTAGAAGCTGATAGGGTTGGGATGCAAGCCGAACCTGCTTCACTGTTCCTGCACACCGGACAAATGAGCTGCGCAGTGATCCCTCTCTCCATGACATCATCATTTCTTATTGTCTCCCCTCCCCCACCACAGTCTAACAATGTTGGCCTTATTTCTTATCTGCAACCACTTTGCTCCCACAGCCACTAGGCCCAGGGCTTTCCTGCTGCTCGTGGGGGGAAGCTTGCGGTTCTTTCCCTCCTCAGTTTTAAATCCCATTCATTTCCAAATCTAAAATGAATCCAACTCCTGTCATGGCCTCTCCTTGCTCCTTCCAGGCCTCTAGTACTTACCCCCTGATTTTCTTCTGGTTTTTAAAAGCACAGCAGTGGCTTGGGTAAGAGAGGTCAGCCCGCGTGAGGTGGAGGAGACTCAAGGACAGAGGGAGCTTCTTGAGAGTCCAAGTGTCTTTGGCAATCAGTTCCTTCAGGTGCTCCAGGCCTTTGGAGGGAAGGGCGGTGACACTGGTGGAAGACACATCTCTGGGATTCCGGGGACAAAACGACACAGACGGGCAGTGAGCAGCCAGGGCCTTTTAGTCTTTGCCACCCCTCGCCTCCCCAAAACCACACAGTCCTGAGATTGATGGGCAGATGACACGCTCCTTTCCAGATGACATGGACTGACAGGTAATCTGAGTTCATTACCTGCACCCACTGGTCCACAGCAGACATTGACTGTCCAAGTCAAGGTTACAAGAAACTCCCGTTTTGTAAAAGTTTTCATCAATCTTTGTTGTGTGTATGCCTATTGTGTGTGTGTCAGCACACACATGTCGTGGTGTGCATGTGGAAGTCAGAGGGCAGATTTGTGGAGTTAGCGCTCTCTTTTCATCTTTACGTGGGTCCTGGAGATGGAACTCAGGTCTTCGTGCTTATGTGGCAAGTGCTTTGTACCTAGCGAGCCATCTTACCAGCCTAGAACTGCTGTTTTTATTGCATGGAAGTCTTGCATTTAATCAGCATAACGCCATAAATATTTTATTCTTTTTGATAAACTCTTGGAATCAGAGAGGACAGGAACGTTATTTTGTAAAATGACATCATACAACTACTAAAAGATCTCCAGAAAAAAAAAATCAAACAAAGTCAATGACACCTAAACTATTATCACTTTCTGGGGTTGGGGGTTGGGAGCTTATGTCTGGAGACACATAAAGTACTCATTTGTAGGATTAGGATCAATATTATGAAGATACTCTCCATTAAATGCAGAACATAGTTACATAGGGAGTCATGGCTAAGAGAACTCTCCCCAGCACAAGTTCTTTTAGAAAACTGTAAATATATTCCTATTTTTAAAAAGCCAATTATTTTATTAATAATCTAACATTACTTCTGCAAACTGTGGGAGGGAAATGTGGTGGGGCAAGGGGTTGTTAATATTAATGTTAGTTATTAAAGTAGAATGGTTTTGACTTTTAAGTAACAATTATCTCTTCTCTAGTCCCAAAGAGTAAAGACTATATGTCTTGTTGATGTATATACATATATATATAGATGATGCTTATACAGAGTAGAGACTAAATGTCCTATTGATGTATGTATGTATATATATATATATATACACACACACAGAGATGATGTCTATACAGAGTACAGACTGCATGTCTTATTAATGTCTATACAGAGTAGAGATTGTATGTCTTGTTGATGTATATATATATATATATATATATATATACACACACACACACACACACACACAGATGATATCTACACAGAGTAGAGACTGTATGTCTTGTTGATGATTTTTCTTGCATTGCAAAATAACTTGAATAAAGCAATAAATATTTAACCTGCCATCTCTCTTCTTTAAATAGTCACTATGCATTCCCTATCCAAGGCATATATTTATACTTAAAATATTTACATTAAGATGGGTGTGGTGGTATATGCCTTTAATCATAGTACAAGGGAGGCAAAAGCAGGTGGATTTCTAAGAGTTCTAGGCCAGTCTGGTTTACAAAGCAGGTTTCAGGATAGCGAAGACTACATAGCGAGGCATTGTCTCAAAAAGAAAAGGCAAAACTAAATTTAAAAAAATTAATATTAACTTGGCTTGGTGGCATATGTCTGTAACATCAGCACTTGGAATTTGGAGGCAGGTGGATCAGGAGTTCAAGGCCATCGTCCTTGGCTACACAGTGAGTTCAAACCAGCCTGGACTACAAGAAACCCTGTCCATATACCTATGTGGTAACCAATAGCTCTCTGATAGAACTTAAGACTGACTTAACAAGAGGGAAACCATACTTGTTACTGGAAATCTAGCCAACTAACAGGGCTAGTGAAGTCATGGACCTTGGAGAAAAACCCACAATGTCACTCTACTAAACCAGCATATCCATAACTATATTGTTAATACTTGTCTTATACCCACAGATAAATCTAGTCCTTACTCCTCATTAGGGAATCCTCTCTTTGCAACCAATGGAAACCAGCACAGAAGACCACAACCAGTTAAAGTACAGAGTTGTGAAGCTTAGTCCCAACATATATAGCTATAAAACAATTCCTAAACCCGAGGCTCAGGGATCACTGCAGAAGAGGGGGCAGAGAGATTGCGAATGAGAGGAGCAGGAAGCTTGCGTCTCTAGGAATGTCAGGAAGTACACCCATAAAGTCTTACCATCAAGACTTCCTAAATGTGAGCTGAACAAGGACACCAACAATGGACATGCTGATGTTGGTAAAGGGAAGGCCCATAGGCCCCAGCCCTACACAAAGAACTACAGGCAACTAGGGAAAGCTGGGAGTGGAAGAAGTCGTCTTCCCCAGGAAAGCACACACCAACTAGGTATGTAATACCAAACAGCCAGCCCTAAAACATACATATGAGTGACAGTATAGAGACTGAGCAAGTTACAGTTAATGTGTTTACAAATACAGAGGTATGTACCTGTGCATATATGCGTGTAACAATACTGAATGAAAAATAGAGGTCGCGAGTTTGAAAGAGCAAGAAAGGGCATATGTGAGGGTCTGCAGGGAGGAAAGGAAGGGGGGGAAATGATGTAATCATATTATAATCTCAAAAATTTACAGAAAAACAAGAAGAAAAAACAATTAGTAGTGTCTGCTTAGCAAATAAAATCTACTGTTGTCAACTCTTCCATTACAATTGGATTTAGCTGGGATTTTATCATCAAGGTTCCAGACTGCCAGAACTTGTTACTGTTCTTTTTTAAAATTTATTTTATTAGTATTATTATTTACTGTTCTATGTTCATTGGTATGAGAGTCATATGTTCTGAAACTGGAGTTACACACAGTTGTGAGCTGCCATGTGGGTGTTGGGAATTGAACTCAGGACTTCTGGAAGAGCAGCCAGTGCTCTTAACTGCTGAGCCATCTCTCCAGCCCCTGTTCTTTTTCTTTTTTTAAACAAATATAAAGCTCATATATATTATCCTTGCTGTCACCATAGAGCTATGATTCTTGTGGGAGAAGGTGTCATATTAGTTATTTTGGTTGGTTTTCTATTTAAAATTTTACGGTTCTGTGTTCTCCAACCTTGCCTGTTACCGAGAATGAACTTTGGCACTTGTCCCTGAATGCTCTCCAGATGATTAACACCAGCACAAGATGTTTGGGAAATTGGCATAAATAATTCTGCAGCTGGGGAAGGAGCAGAGGGAGGAGAAAGCGCCTTTAGCACAGCTGTGAAGTGTGGCCTCTCCTGTCCTTTGAATGCCCCTCACTCCCCACCCCCATCCCCTTACCTCCCCGCCCCCCAACCCTCCCCCCTGCCATTCTATCGTCAAGGTCAGGCTATCTTTCAGTTCTAGCTTCTCTTGGAGCAAGTTAGGTATCTCTACCCTGTGGTTCATCCATCTGTCCGTCATGTTGAAGGAGGATAGCATCTTTTAGCTCCTTTGCCCTGTCTTGCTCTCTTCCGGGCGAGTGTGCCTGGCATAGCATATGAATGTGGACCCACACAAACACTGTAAAGGTGCTGAAAATATTATGAGATGTGGATGTGTGATTCTTTTTGTTTTGTTTTTATAACTTGGTTTTGCATTGTGGGTGGTGCCATCGCTGGCCTGGTGATCCTGGGTTCTGTAAGAAAGCAAGACATGAGGAGCAAGCCAGTAAGCAGCACCCCTCCACGGCATCTGCTTAAATTTCTGTCTTCAGTTTCCTTCCCTGTTTGACTTCCCGTCCTGACGATCTTCAATGATGAGCAATGATATGGGAGCATAAGCCAAATCCTTCCTGTGCTTTTGGTCATGATATTTCATCATAACATATAGTAACTCTTAACAGCAGGCGCGGACAGAGTCAGTGTTGGAGCAGGAGTTATATACCTGAGAAACCTCTGTGGCATGATGTGTGTTTGGAATTTACTGGAACTCAATAAATCTTCATTCTCTTTTTCAACTCTGAGTTTATCTGAACTCAAAGCAAAGGATGCGGTCAACACAACTCGAGCCTGGAGCTGAAGCAGTCTGTGTGGCTGCTCATTTGACACCTTCACCTGCATGCCTTGCAGACACCTCCAGCTAAACAGAGCTGAAACTGAGGGGTGGCAGAGTGACTCTCAGGAAGCAGGTTGTTCCGCCCACCCTGGTTCACACTCACGGGGTCAAGGCGGCAGAGTCGAGTGGGGTTTGTTGTTATTTTCCTCATCCGTGTTTTATGCTGACCCTGTCTTGCCGAGGTCTGAAGTTCTCAACAGACACTAGAATGTTATCAAAAACAAAGGCAGCAGCTCCTTTCTACTTCCCAGGTGACCCCACGAGTCATCTCTACTGGAAATAGTACGACTGGAATGGATCTTCCCTTCCTTCCTACCAGTATCAAAGGGAATCTTTCCTGCCTTTTATACACCAGCTTCCGGGGTTTGAAGCTACAGTTCTTTCATATGGTCTGCTTTGCCCCTGTTCTACATTCATGCCCTCAAGATCTATAGTGAAATAAAACTGAGCTCCCTCCAGCCATCAGATACCAGCCCAGTTGTCCATGTGCCCATATACTTGTGACCTGTAGTGATATTTCATTTGTATTTCAATAAATAAAGCTTGCCTGAAGATCAGAGAGTAAAACAGCTCCACTAACCAGCCTTACAGACCAGGCAGTAGTGGTGCACTAGAGAGGAATAAAGGATGGGAGGAGATAGCTCTCAAACATAGTCTCATTCTGAGATTCCTGGAGGCAGGATCGCCGTATCTGTCTGAGGTAGAGGTAAGAATCAGAGTCTGGCTGTTTGTTTTGCTTTTCTGACCTTCAGGTTGAACGCCAATATCGGTCTCTGGGTTTTTATTAATAGCACTACAGTGACCCTTCTTACCACCATAGCTTAGGTCTCAACTACACTTCATCTGAGTTTTTCAAAAATGTCACGAAGGTCTCCCGGAAATCTAATGATCCCCCCTGTCTTAACACTTAGAATAGGATGCTCTCCCCAAAACATAATCTTACCACACTACTGCAGCAGCGAGCGAGGCACAGTTCCCTCAGGACATCCAGCTGCTCAAGGA